GATTTAGTGGAATCTTGGACAAGGAAAATGATTATTTTTACTTGATTGTTTTCATGGCAACGATTTCACTTCATGGAAGAAAATTTAAAATGTGTTTTACCCAGTTTTTCACATTTTCAATAACAGAAATGAAAAATTAAGATAAATTAAGCATAAAACATCATATTTCATGCCATTATAATTGTTTGAATAGGATAGATTATACGATAAATCAATTTTTTCATTAAAAATGAAATGAGTAAAAACATCAATTACCTTAAATTTGATGTCTTTTAATCAAATCTTTAAAAAAAAAAAAAACGAGAGGGGAATACTGCGAGTATCTTACAAAATCTTACTAAATGATAAACCTCTTCTTCCCATACAAATTTAAGTATGACATAGGTGTACAATTTTAAAACAAGAGGCCCATGGGCCACATCGCTCACCTGAGCACTGTGGCTTGGAAAAAAAAAAACAAAATTCAGTTCAGTATTGAAAAACTTAAATGCATATAAGTGGTCCCGACCCAACCCTAAAACCTAAAACGGGGGGTGGGGGGGGGGTCATGATTTGATAAAAAATTGAATCTACACTAAGGATCCTTACATATTTCTTTGACTAACTGTGGCTATTTTCCTATAAGTTTGAACTTTCATTGTGGCTCCACCCTACCCCCTGGGTCATGATTTGAACAAATTGGAATCTACACTACCTGACGATGATTCCACATGAGTTTCATTTTTACTGGCCCATTGGTTCTTGAGAAGAAGATTTTTAAAAGATGCCATTCGTTTTTCACCATTTTTTTGTTATCTCCCCTTGGAAGAGGGCTTGGCCCTTCAATTGACAAACTTGAATACCCTTTACCCAAGGATACTTTATGCCACGTATGGTTGAAATTGGCCCAGTGGGTCTGGAAAAGAAGATGAAATTGTGAAAAGTAAACGACGACGACAACGACAACGACGACAGACAGCGGACATATTTTGATCAGAAAAGCTCACTTGAGCCTTCGGCTCAGGTGAGCTAAAAATGAAAATTGGAGGGGGTTTCAATACTTACCTTAAAACTCAAGGCGTTAGGCAATTAAATCTTTCTTAGCCACCTCTGCGTTGTGCATGTTGTGAGAATAACTCTAAATGAGGAATTTCTGTAAAGCCGAAAATTGTTCTTTACGGTATGGAATAACGCATATAAAGTTGCAATCGATCTACATTAATAAATATATCTGTACATTGCAAATAAAGAACTAAAGATTATGTAAACCTTGTAATATTCTTAATTGATATGAGTATCCCTAAGAGAACATTCGCTATTGTGACAACAAAAATTGTTAGAATACACTTTGTTTAGGAATCTCTTCAAAATAAACATTTTTTTTTTTTGCAAACCTAACAAACCCTATACTCTTACAGTTTCAAAAATTACATGCATCATATTTTATATACATATATACGCTAGGGGAGTGAAAAATAAATTTAAAGAAAAAAATCAAAAAGTTGTACATGCATCACATTGGCGTCACTTTGCTTTTAAATAGAGATCAGATGGACAGCTATTTAGGATTTAAGGTCTCTGCATTTGATTTTTACCACGTTAAGATATCTTCTCTTTATCTTTATTTTTAGACTATGTTTTGTTTCTATATTTGTCCACTATCCTGACATAACTCTGGACATGATGCTGCGGATAAGTTACATTTATTATTTTTCCTCCGTTCATATATATATATATATATATATATATATATATATATATATATATATATATATATATATATATATATATATATATATATCTTTTCTTCTGCTTTACTTATTTCGACCTATTATTTTTCCTCCGTTCATATATATATATATATATATATATATATATATATATATATATATATATATATATATATATATATATATATATATATATATATATATATATATATATATATATCTTTTCTTCTGCTTTACTTATTTCGACTATCTTTTCATCAGTGTTTTTCTCTCTCGATTTCCTTCAAGGATTTGACGGAAGCCAGACATTCTAGAATGTTAGATGTTCAGGATTTACTAGTTATTTTTCTTTTTCAAAAGATATTTCTTTTATCACAATTCCTGGTTAATTTTACTTTATACTGACATTCTATCTGTCATTTCAAAAAGTCGGATATATGAATTGGAACTTTTGTTTTAACCAATGACCTTCATGTACCTGTGTGAAATAAATATGGCCGGTCAACAGGGGGTGCTTGCTCCTCCTGGGTACCTGATCCCACCTCTTCGTGTTTTAATGCCCTATTTACCGATAAGAATTGTGATTTTTTTTAGATCGATCACTGTTTGTTATCTTCACTTTTTCATTATAGATCATTATTATGCTTCCTGTCAGTTTGTCTCTATATAATCAATACCCAACTATTTTCGCATAGTGTTCTAAGGATTTATATAGCGTAAGCATACTATGCCGAAATAGTGCACGGCTGTCTTTTCTAGAGAAAATGTATTTAGCACCCACGCTGGGGATCGAACTCACGATCTCGAGAACGTCAGTCCAACGCGTTAACGATTACGCCACAAACACCGCTACTTTAGGGAGTGTATTTTCAAGTATATAAACGTAGTTTTTATACATTTGTCACAAAACAAGAAATAAATGAATATAATTTCTATAAGACTGATATTATTGATAAGGATCTTAAAGAAAAATTCTCTAACAAATAATCGAATTTTTCAGTAACCAAAATTGCAACGTAACATGAACTGGTTCTTCGGAGTCAATAAAACGCTTTTTGATATAACGCTTGATCAAAGAATGTTCAAGAAAATTTTCATTTAGATTTAACGTCTGCAAACAGGTTTGGGGTTGAGAATTTAATTAAATTGTCGTATACAAACAACAGTCAGCATAATAATTATAATAGTGTTATTATTTGGATGTACTATGCCGAAATAGTAGTCAGGGTTTGACACATAGTGCACTCGCCTCCGGCTCGTGCACCATGTGTCAAACCCTGACTACTATTTCGGCATAGTACATCCAAATAATAACACTATTATATAAATATGCGGTTTTACGGAGAGATCTATGTGTTGATATATCAGCACATCCTCAAAAATATTTACTATCTGTTGGTTCTATATTAAAGAGGTAGTTACAACAGAAATGATATTTAACCAATATCATTTATATTAAACACAACTTGATATTTTGAAAAAAAGGAAGAATCGACACTTGCTACATATAAAAAAAATAGACACATAGCTTGGTATATATTTTCATACTTACTATTTATGATAAATACAGGTATATCAGATCTCTCAATATAAAAAAAATTAAGACTTTCTGTCATGTTCAGGATTCTTCATTTTTGCAATGTTATCACTCTTACAAAGATATGCAATTTTTATCACTTAACGGACCATAATTGAGAAATTATAATTGGAAAAAGAATCTACATAATGCTAAATTTATACATTTTATTCGTGATTTTTAAAAATATATTATAAATTGTATTCATTTTTTAAAAACTTTCTGCATAACCTGAGGTCTTTCGTACTACAAAAAGCCGAATAAGCAATTTAACTTTAAATATAAGTTATATTTACAGTACTTTCTTTCGTTTGTAAGGGATTTATTGTACAGAGAGGCGTGGCAGTCGAGTCGCGCAGCGACGAGACTGTCACGCCTCTCTGTACAATAAATTCCTAACAAACGAAAGAAAGTGTCTGTAAATGTCTTGTGTCATGGTCATTTGCATAGTCACTCCTTCAGCACCAAACTGCACGCGACATTACGTCATAGGCCTAGGTCCATCGTAAGTGAACAGGCCCGGTGTTCAAACAAAGCAGAAAGTACGAAGGAGATGGTTGCATTGAAAAATCAAGCAATGTTAAACGAGTGTGAAATTGTATTTGATGGATTAATTTAAGCAGTATGAGTATTTCAAAAACCATAACAAATACAGGCACAATACTGGAAACCTGGATCCGCCCGCACTTTGACCCGCTACATTATTGTTACTAGGGATACGCTTGCATGTCCCGAGGAAATCCGAGTCAAGTACTGTAGCCACAGGTATCAAAATTATGGAATGTAGTGTGAAATAGTCCAGATACAATTATATACGAACATGTATCAGTTTGCATGTAACTCAAAGAACTCAGAAAACAGTTGAAATTAGCCTAAGGGAATCATCGAACTGCGCGTTTTCAATATTGTTAGATTTCAGTTATCTGTTTTAATTTGAATACATGTATTTCAAGAAAGTCTGTGTATTTTTAAAATATTTGTTTAAATTAGTTAACTAATGAGTTTACATGTAATCCTCATGGAAATGGTTTTCACGTATGCATTTTTAGATCGAAAGGGGGGGGGGTGAATTTTGTGAGGTTTCTCATTTTCAGATCGAAAGGGGGGGGGGGTGAATTTTGTGAGGTTTCTTATTTTTCCTCTGGATAGGTTGTATATGCTTACAGAAATTGAAGAAAAAAATTTCAAAAGTATTGAGTTCCTTTGGAAGTTATTGTACAGTGCATTGGAAGTTATTGTACGGCTAAGCTCCGCCCCTAGAAGTTATAGTACGTTGGAATTCAGCCAAAGGTTTTCTATCTGATTTAAAGTATGGCTAACATCAAAAGAAAAAGTACCGCACCATGACACAAGTGAAAAGATACGTATTAATTGTATTTAAACTAGAATCTTATTTTTCATTTTAAAACTTTGCTTCCATCTTCATGTGATTGCCAGGGTACATGAAATGTTTTTGCATGGCTAAGGAAATAGGTATCAGAACTTTTACAAAATCACAAGAAAATTAAAGCAAATCATAATAAGTACATGAATCGTAATTTAACAGTAATTTAACAGTAATTTAGCAGTAATTTAACAGTAATTTAACAGAGACGATTCACGGAAAGAAAGATTTAGGGACAACTTGGCTGCATCAGCTTAGCTATCTCTAAATCTAAAAAAGACATAAATAAATAAAACTTTACAAAGCAGGGAAGTGGATATGACATGAGGAATTTGAACTGAAAACCACACAAGATTTCTTTTTTTCTACTAATGGTGATGAAAAAATCAACAGTTTTCTTCGTTCAGGTTCTAGGTAAGAATATTTTCGTGGAATTTACCAGTTTATGATACCTAAAGTACATTTTAAATGTTTAAATAGAAAATGTAAATATGTAGGTACCTTATTAGACATAAGGAACAATTCCTTCAAGTATTTAAAATGATTTGCAAATTGAATTGTCTTCAGAGAAGTTCTTATGAAGTGAAATTTAATATGGAGGTAAAGATGAAGGTCCACTTAGAGCATTTTGGATTTTTTGTGAATTTCTGAAAAAAGAAATCAAAACAGACCAATTTAATTGACAGTGCAAAATATTACCTGGATCCAAAGTGTATCTAGCTCTTTTCTCAAGCACTGCTTTTCAATCATACTTATATAGATATATGGACTTAAATAAAAAAAAGAGACTTATATATTGACTTGAATTAAAAGGAAAAAAATATGCTATTAATTCTATGGCATGGTTCTGTAACATACACATTTGATTTTACGAAGTGAATGTTTTTTTTTTCTTTATTTCTTTAAAAAAATGATCAGTCAGTAAACTCTTTATCGTAGTATACACATAGTATATAAATTTCATGATCAGATGCTACTCCATCAATGAAACGAGCAATGACGTACATAACAATAATACAATATTAAATATTCTTAATCCTATTACAGATGATTATTTGTAAAAACATAAATATAAACAATAAGATGCCCTTTTTTTTAAATTTCTTAGTATGGGAATAAATGTTTTGAATGCGTGTTATTTTTTTTTTTTTTTTTTTTGCAACGGCTACAACATATAAAATGTCAATACCTTTACTAACAATCAAAGAAAAAAAATATTGATAAAGTATATATTTAATGCAAATATTCAAAAGTTTATATGACTATGTACATGATCTGCACATGCATGTATATATTAACGAAACCCTATGGTTAAGCACTGTAGGGTATTTTTATTATTTAGGACATTCTATAATTGTTTGATTTATTTAATATTATTATAACGGAAACTTACACATCTGTAAACGCCGTTTACCCTCTAGGCTTGTCCACGGTGTTTGGTGGTTGTTCTTATAATGTTTTAACTGGGCGCTATTGCTATTACCTTGACTACTACGACGACCTGTACCCCAATACTCTTGGGTAAGAAGTGCGGCTTTTGTTGTTTGTTGTTGTTATTGGTTGTGGAACTAGTTGAGATACATTTGTAATAGGATTATATTTGATATTTATTTATTATTTTTATACTGACATTAAACGCAGTACTGGTGCAATCGTTGGGATTGTACTCGGAGCCCTCGCTGGATTGGCAACACTTATTGGACTTATAGTCTGTTTATATGTGACGCTATGCAGAAAACCCACACAAATTCAGGGTGCAGTTATGCACATCCCCACCACAACTGCAGGGACAACCTTGGTACAAAATGCCCAGCCATGTAAGTATAATTTATAAAATATATTAAAAAATCATGATTTTAGAAAAAAAAAGTATTTAACCTTAAATAAAATTGATTATTTTTTAAAAATACTTGTAAACAATTCCTCTCTTAAAAAAGATTACTTCAGACTGAATTGTGAATACTTTTGCATACTGAATTTTTAGGATATTCTAATAAGTGTTTTACGCCAGAGAAATAAGAAAGTAATAGCCTTGTCATGGATTATATTTTCTTCTTAAAATAACGTTTTAGTTATGCAGCCTTACCATCAACAAGGGCTACACCAAGCTAATCCTGTTCAGATGCAGGCAACTGGACAAGGCGTAGCAGCCTCTTTTGCTTCACCTCCCCAGTACAGTCCGCCACAACAATCTGCTGAAAATCAAGATCCGCCTCCGAAATAACATTATTCATAACAAATAACCAGTAAACATTTTCTTTAAAACGCTGTTACATTTGAATAGCTATTACTTTTTTTTTTTTTTACCTATTTTGTTAGTTTCTTTGCTTCTTGGTTTTTTTTTGGCTCTGTTTATTGTTTTTTTTAAAATTTCCAAATAGATCTTGTTTCTATATTTGTATTGAATAAAAAATACCATAGAAAAAGTTTGCGTTATTCAGACTTTTCTCTTAATCATCCAAACTTGTCGAACCATGAGCTGAGCAATTTTAAACGATTGTACTTTTTATGAACCTTACCAAAAAATACAATAGTTTCCTATTAGTTAATTATAGTTAACTATAGTTAACCATAGTGATAACTTTGACACTATAAAAAATAGTATTAGCTATAGTGATAACTTTGACACTATGAAAACTATAGTTAACTATAGTCATAACTTTGACACTTTAATTTACTAAAGTGATAACTACAAACACCTTGACTTACTATAGTGATTACTTTGACACTATATAAACTTTGAAATACTATAGTGTTCACTAAGAAAACTTTTGATTTATTAAAGTTATCTCTCAAATATACTTTATATCGTTATCAAAGATGGTAACTCTATACGTCAAGTTTGATATACTTAATAACATTAAAGATGTTATTTACTGATATAAAAAAGACAAATTGAAATGAAAGACAAACAATATTCATTTTATAAATAATACCCAATAAATGTCTTCGAAATTTTTTTTTTCAAAATGTATAAAACTAAAAAGAAAATTCGGAAAAAAATGAATTGCAAGGAATTAGGGGAAAGAGATCTTTCTTAAATTTAAATAAACTGAATAATACACATGTTGTGAAATTAAAAGAAAAAAAAAACTTCTATCACAGAAAAGTGTATACTGTAGTAATTAATTTAAACTTACTAGAATTTCTATAGTTATCATGTGTAAAAATTTAATAAACCATAATGCTACATTTGAAACTTTGATTTAGCATAGTGTTGATTTTGAAACTTTGATTTACTATAGTGATAACTATGATACTTTAGTGATAACTATGAAAACTGTGAATTAATTATAGTGTTCACTATGAAAACTTTGATTTACTATAGTGATATTTTTGACTCTTTGAAAATTTTGAAATGCTATAGTGATCACTATGACACTAAAGTGATAACTTTGAAACTTTGTTTTACTATAGTTAACTAAATTTTACTATAGTTAACTATAGTTAACAATAGTTTTATTATGTTTTGTTTTGAGCCAGATCCAAACCTTTGAAAAAAAAAAGATCTCTGCTTCTCATCATTTTGGTTTTCATCTCTGGCCATTTTATTGTTTTTTATGGTTTTTGTTGTTTGTATACTTTCATTTCGCATTTCAAATTTATAAATCGTTTTTAACAAAATAGGTTATTTTTATTTTAATGTATTGTTGTCCCCTTTCTTTCACTAGAAATAAAGTTTGGATCGCATAGACGATATCAATATTGAAACGGACCATATTTCCCTTGATCCCTTTATCTACAATGACAAACATCCTTGTAAACCGACAGAAAAAGCACAGTAGATGGTTAATAAGCGGAAGTTAATATTATATTTTGTGAGAAATAGGTACATTACATCATGTTAAATCACGCTTTTTTTCAAGAAATACTTTTTTTTACCCTGACTTGCCCAAATTGCTAACAATTCACATGTGACGTGGAGGCCGGTCCTTCAGATGAGACCGTATAAACCAAGGTCCCGTGTCGCAGTAGATGTTGGCACGAAATAGATCCCTCACTGCTCAATTTAGCTTGACAAGATGAAAATGTCGCTACATGTTCAAGAAAATGAGGATCTCCATTCGTCACATCAGTGCTTGATCAATATATCACGTATCGGAAACGACAGGGCATTTCATGCCAAGCATCACTACAGAACACTACACAGAACCACTATATCACAGCACCACTATATCACAGCTCAAAGACAACAAAATTCATCAGAAATTTGTAGAGTATTATCCTGAAAAAATTAGCATACGCGCACAGCTCTTTCATTTTGATTCCTCCATTATACTTTTCATTTCCGGTAATATTTCTTTCGTTTGTCATCGTTTATCTGTTAAAAATATGAAATTTTATAAAGCGTACTTTTCCGGGAATGTTAGACAAGTAAAAAATGATTCTCCGAACACCATGGGGAGAAGGAAGCATAGTTTAAGCAGGATTTAAATGTTACTTTAATTTCAAACATATGTTAATCTTTGTCGGTTGTTATATATTTGTATCATTTTCCTCCTGCGTCACGTATTTTGTTGCCGAATCCATTCTTGAAACAATCTCTCTCTCTCTCTCTCTCTCTCTCTCTCTCTCTCGAGAGAGAGAGAGAGAGAGAGAGAGAGAGAGAGAATTTCCACAATGATGATAACTTCCCCTATTTGTTTTCTTTTTAAAAATTATTTGGATATCATGGACTTATCCCACCAAAAAATATACAGAAAAAAGAAAAATAGTAGACATTCAAATATTTAGGAAATAAAACACATTAAAGAGGGAGTATAAAGTAGGCGTGGGGGAGTAATACAGAGGAGAAATAGAAGAACAAATTTAAAGAGAGCAAAATGCATATGGAATGCATAACTGCTCACACGAGTGAGACATTTGTCTTTTCATAATACCAGAACGAGAAAATACTGCATACAGATGTGATATATGTTGCTGTTGTCAGAACGATTAAGCTAGACATGATGATATTCCACATTTTTTCTGCAGAATTTGACTCAATGTAGTCATTTTTGAAATGCAGTAAACCCACCTAACGTCGAGGAACAGGTCCAAAATATTGGTTCGGAATGATGGCTACTTTGTAATTAAAAAATATATTAAAACAAGACAAAAAAAAAAGGATTAATTCTTGGTTCTGTTTCAGCTCCCGTTAAACGGCGTCGTTTTGTCGCTCCTGGTTATTGTTGACAATCCACAAATCATGGACAACAAAGCGAAAGAGCAACCTAAATGCAATGGGGACAAGAAAGAGAAAATTGTGATTGAAAGGGTGAAAATTCAATGGTTTAAACTTAAAGACCACCCTTTCTCGCATTGTCAGCTTACATTCGCGCTCTCTGGTTTTCTGGCTCTGTCATCATAGCCATTCCGATCTAGGGGTTGCTATAGCAATGAGTACACTTTACATATAAAAAAGTATTTTGTTAAGTTTTTTTCCCCGCACAGTCTTATGAAGCAAAAACTACTAGCAGGTATATAAAAATCAATTCTTTCTGCTCTTCAGAAAAATCTGAGTATTCATTTATAAATAAAATTACATTATGGTACAAGAACAAATAAATAAAAGTGAGGATTTTACATTTGACTTGTGTAAATCATTTCTATATCTTCAGCAGTAGAGTAGCTTCATCATCACCGGTCACTTCCTGACTGCCACTGTCACTGTCATTATTGTCATTGTTTTGCACATATACACGCACACTATCATTTCTTCGCGTTTCAATTTCTTTTTCATGTTTATCGTATAAAGTCTTTATTTAGTTTTGATTTCATTGAGAAGGTAATTGCCACTACGTTTTAAAAATAATGATATTGCATAAGGACCAACTATAATAAGGGCAGGGTCCAATGATATCTTTCAGATTATATTCTGATGTCGCTCTACTTATGAGAATTGTTTCAATTGTAATAAACAAGTACATAACAACTACAACGCACATAAATAATAAATCCCTTTCTTAACAAAATGTAATCGACCCAAAATAAAATCAAACTTTTTTTCGTCAAATTTAAATTTCACTTGAAATATTCTCATTTTGAATTACAAATAAATACAATATGATTTTTGAGAACATTGTGACAATTTCCAAGTAATATGTATAAAATAAATGAGTGTAGTGCCCACAAAGACTAAATACCTAAAGAGATGTATTTGAATTGTCATTGCAGAAGAAAGAAAGTATGTAAATGATATAAGTAGGAAAGTAAATATCGAAATAACAGGACAATAAAAAATGAAGCGGATTAGAAAATACAAGAAGTTTGATATAAAACAACTTGGGGTTGAATATACATTTAAAGACAATAATGGAAACACGCAATTACAAACATGCCACATTAGGTACGGTAAAATCAAGCAGCAGACTTGAAAACAAAGAACAAATTAAAAGAAACACGTTCAGAAATAAAACCTTTATAATTTTCAAAATATGATCTTTCTTGCATACCCTTTTAAATTTAGATTTTTTTTTTACTCCTGATACATTCTGGAGACACTTTCCATGATCGGATGACAAATTCTAAACAGTTTGCTTCAAACGTAAGACATTGTGTTTTGCAGATTTTTTTTCTTTAATATTATTCTCTGAATACTGAATTATTGCATTTATCTTTGACATATTTGCAACAATGTATTCGTTTACATTGCGAAATGTTGTCAAGAAATCTATTCCTTTTCATTGAATATGTTTTTGTACGTATTTTCCGACAGCTTAATAAAGTGAAAACTTCACAGAGAAATTTAAATAGGAAGTGCAATATTTCTCCAAAAGGACCAGGTGCGTTTGGTGCAAAATTCGGCCCCATGTCAAAATTAAATAATATTCCTCAAAACTCTTTGAGAGAGTATATATTTTCATGAAATTATAAATGTATGCATGTACAAAGCTTTATTCATGTTTTATGTAAAAGTAAAGGTAGCATAGTTTACGTTAACGTTGCGATATTTTGACGTTGCTTTGTGCGACGTTATGAACAAGAATTGAATGTCATGTTTTAAAATAAATCCAGCTTATATGTATATTCTATTATGTACGTTTGTTAAATCTCATTTTCATAAACGTACAATCCGAGGTATCGGTATATATATGATAGCATACCATGCTTACTAAATTATTTTTCATTATTAAAGACAAATCTTTGTAGCATTTGATATGGTTGGCTTTGAAAATTTTTTAATCATAAGGGAAACAAAGGGGTGTACATGTACAGTACATTCTAAGCGGAGTTCTCACTTTTCGCACTGGCACAAGCAAAGTTATTGGCTTTGTTTGTTAACTTGACGAAACGTAATTGCCAAGCTTTGTA